AAAAACAAAACAAAACAAAAACAACTTTTCAAGGATAAAGTGCCTTGCAAGGGAACCTCAAGGAGCAGGTATTTCTTGCCCCTTTTTCAAATTATAAGTTTCTCTGCTGGGAAAAAACTCTAGAAATCATCTGGTACAACCGTGTCACTCTGCAAATGAAGAACCTGAGGTTTGAAAAAGTTCAGCAACTCACACAGGGTCTGACTAGTACTGGAGCTGGCAGCTAGAATTCCAGTCTCCAAAACCCCATCATACTCCTGGATTGACAGAATCAACATTGTTAAAATGTTCATACTACCCAAACTGATTTATAGGTTCAATGCAATCCCCATTAAACACCAACATCATATTTCACAGATCTAGAAAAAATAATTCTAAACTTCATTTGGAACCAGAAAAGAGCCCCAAATAACCAAACCATCTTAAGCAAAAAGAACAAATCTGGAGGCATCATATTATCAGACTTCAAACTATACTGCAAGCCTATAGTAACCAAAACAGCATGGTAGGGACATACAATAGAGCAGAACAGAAAACCCAGATGCAAAACCAGGCACACACAGCCAACTCATCTTTGAGAAAGCAGAAAACAATATACACTGGGGAAAAGAAGTCCTATTTAATAATTAGTGCTGGGAAAATTGGATAGCCACATGCTGAAGAATGAAACAGGACCCCTATCTCTCATTGCTCCCCCAAATTAATTAAAGATAGATTAAAGACTTAAATGTAAGGCATGAAACCTTAAGACTTCTAGAAGAAAATGTAGGAAAAACTCCTCTAGATATTGGCCTAAGCAAAGAACTTAGGGAAAAGACTCCAATGGCAATCCAGGGAACAACAAAAATAAGTGGGACTTGGTTAAATTTAAAAGCTTCTGTACAGCTAAAGAAATAATCAATAGGGCAAATAGACAACCTACAGAATGGGAGAAAATATTCACAAGCTATGCATCTGATAAAGGGGTAATAACTAAAATCTACAAAGAACTCAAGTAAATCATCAAGAAAAAAAAATAACCCCATTCAAAAGTGGGAGAAGATATGAAGAGAAGCTTTTCAAAAGAAGATAGACAAATGGCCAATAAACATATGAAAAATGCTTAATTTCACCAATCATCAGAGAAATGCAAATTTAAATCCACAGTGAAATGTCACCTTATACCAGTTAGAAGAGTTTTATTAAAAAGATCAGAAACAATAGATGCTGGTATGGATGCAGATGAAAAATACAGTGTTCGTGGGACTGCAAATCAGTACAACCTCTGTGGTAAATCACATGGAGATTCCTAGAGGCCCAGCACAGTGGCTCATGCCTATAATCCTAGCACTCGGGGAGCCCAAGAGTTTGAGGTTGCTTTGAGCAATAACACCACAACACTCTACTGAGGGTGACAAAGTAAGACTCTGTCTCAAAAAAGAAGGAAAAAATGGTGGAAAATGGTGGCAATTCCTCAAAGAACTAAAGCAGTTCTACCGTTCAATCTAGCAATCCCACTACTGGGTATTTACCTGAAGGAAAACAAATCATTTTATCAAAAAGACAACTACACTTAAATGTTTACTATGGCACAATTCACAATTGCAAAGATGTGGAATCAACCCAAGTGCCCATCAATTCATGAGTGAATTAACAGAATATGATATATGTATACCATGGAATACTACTCAGCCATAAAAAAGATGAATTCATGCCTCTTGCGACAATTTGGATAGAGCTGGAGACCATTATCCTAAGTGCAGTATCTCAGGAATGGAAAAATAAATGCCACATGTACTTGCTATTAAACTGGAATTAACCAGTGAGCACATATGCACACAGAGAAGAGTAAAGCTCAGTGGAAATCAAGCAGGGGATGGGAGAGGAAAAGATGGTGAAAACCTACCTAATGAGGGCTGGGTGTGGTGGCTCACACCTGTAATCCCAGAAATCTGGGAGGCTGAGGTGGGTGGATTGCCTGAGCTCACAGGTTCGAGACCAGCCTGAGCCACAGTGAGACCCCCATCTCTAAAAATAGCCAGGTATTATGCTGGGTGCCAGTACTCCCAGTTACTCAGGAGGCTGAGACCAGAGAATCACTTGAGTCCAAGAGTTTGAGGTTGCTGTGAGCTATGACACCACGGCGCTTTAATGAGAGCAACAAAGTGAGACTGTCTCAAGAAAAAAGAAAAAAGGAAAACCTACCTAACCCACACTGTCTGGGTATGGACACACTTATAGTCCTGACTCAAGCCTTACAAAAGTGATCTATATAACCAAACACATTTGTACCCCCATTAATATTTTGAAAGAAAAATCCATATCCAATTCTATTCCAAATACATATTCTCTGCCTCCTCTCCACACACTCCAGAGGCATGTAGCTCTACCCAAACACTTGACTTGGACTATTCTGTCATCCATAAAATTTGTTAAATACTAGGCCAGGCACAGTGGCTCACGCCTGTAATCCCAGCACTTGGGAGGCCCAGACAGGTGGATCGCCTGAGCTCACAAGTTTAAGATCAACCTGAGAAAGGGCAAGACCCTATCTCTAAAAAATAGCCAGGCGTTGTGGCAGGGGCCTGTAGTCCCAGCTACTTGGAAGGCTGAGGCAAGAGAATTGCTTAAGCCCAGGAGTTTGAGGTCGCTGTAAGCAGTTAACGCCCTGGCACTCTACCAAGGGTGACAAGATGAGACTCTGTCTAAGAAAAAAAAATTGTTAAATTGTACTTGCCTAAGATCAATATGGCTTTTTATTAGGTAACTTGAATTCCCTCCCTTCCTATGAGGCCCTCTCAACATATATGTAACAGGAATTACATTTCATGAATGTAATTAGTACAGTCCCCTCAAATGTCTGTACATTTAACTTCCAAATACTTAATTGTGTTCTTATTTTAATGGAGAACATGACATAGTTTAGAAAACTTTGAAAAACTTTGAATTGCAATAAATGCTTTCATTTATAAACACTATATTTTCTACCTCCTAACCATTAAGAAGGCCTTCAATAATGGCCATTCATTTTACAGAACTACCCTCAAAGAAAGAAAAGTGTGAATGAATTTAGGTGAAATAAATGTCCAGGTAAATAATTTTGATTGTACACATTTAACTTCATTGAATAAAGTTATCTTTCTTTAGAGTATAGTAAAATAAGAAATACGATTTTTTTTTAGTTTAACCAAATATTTATAAAATCTCACCTCTAATTCCTCAGCCTGTTCTGCGTTATCTTCTTCTGAGCCATTGGCTTTAGGTAAATAAGTCATTTTTAGTCTCAGATAACCTTTAACTCTTGATTTGTGACTGTAGAAAAGAAAATAATTATTCATGTAGCTTTCAACACTAGAAAGAATGCATTCATTTAATAAGAGTTACTGAACACCCACTAGCTACAAGGGGATCTATTAGGGAAGATTCAAAGACAAGCTCCAGTGCAGAAGATTATCCGGGAGAATAGATGGTGGAGAAAAAAGAAGCACATGTAAATAAATAAATGTTAGACTATAAACAAGATGCTAAGAGAATTTAAGTGAAAGATCAGGGAGAACTTCAAAGACAGGTTGGCATTTGAGTTGGGGCTAGAAGATTTGGGAGCATTTTGATCTGTGGCAGTGGAGAGAAAGGTGCATGAGTAAAGAGCAAAAACAAAAACTAGATGAGAAATCTGGGATGCAATGAAGGAAATGGCAGTAGCTTAATCTGGCGGGATTATATGATATGTAAAGGGGAATGACGAGGTCATGCAAAATAAGAGACCTTTAGACTTTATTGGGCACATGCTGGGAAGCCACTGAGAATTCTGGGGATAGAGAAAGGCATCCTCAGACGTGTGTGTTAGGGATACTAATCTGACCACAACGATGACAGAACGGTGGAGAGCAAGGCCTGGTAAGTGTCTGAAACTGCTACCTTTCTTTGACAGCTGTTTGTATCTGTCATACATGTGTTTATCTATTTTCATATTGTATCACCTCGTTGAATAATGAGGTGTCTAAGCTAAAGGTTGCTACTCATTATAGTAATATTTTAAATCTTTTTAAAAACCTGCCCTTCATAAACTTCTAATTTAAGGTTTGATTCTATCTATTGTGTCCACCAATTCTAGCATCCTAAGATTTACTTAAAATATCCTTGCTTGTCCTAGCTATCTATATAGATTTTTGGGAATTTTTACAGGTATCAGATATGTAAAAATTGCCCTTTGTCTTCCTAGACAAGAGTTCTAGTCCTTTTATTCTGTCTTCAAGAGATGCCCTCCTCGCTGCCCTCATGCCTCCCTGAATCTTTTTAGTTGTTCTCTATATAGTTCTCATGGATTTGGCAAATTTAGTGTGCCCTTTCCAGAGTGGTCAGTAGAATCCCTGGTACTTATTTTCAAGGGTACTAAAATGGCTTCTGTCTTCATCTTTGTGATAAAGAAAATATGCTCAGATAAATGTCTTGTTGAAAAGGTCCTCTACAGTTATATGTTTCATGTCTTTTCAACTAGAAAATAAGCCTAGGGGTTTTGACTGAATGGGGTTCAAACAAATGTAGGAATGCAGTGTATTTTCTATCTGAATGCAGTTTTTTTCGGTCCTTGCAAAAATATCCACTGCAGACAGAAGAATTACATTATATTTTTTAAAGATAAAAACTCTAGAAAGCATTTGACAAAACTGAAAAGCAGGCTGCCAGAGCAATTGAATAAGAAAACATATTGATTTATTCTTGGTAGGCAGATGCCACAAATCAGTCCAAAATTAAAGGAAGAGATTTATATTCCAGACTAAACAGAAATTAAATATGTGACATCTTTTATAGAGAATAAACATTAGCACAGTGAGCACATTTTTGTTTTACTATTTATAGTACAAAGAATAATTTTTAAAAATCATTTTTAAGCGAAAATTTTTACTAAGTTCTCTAGTACATTTTTCAAATGCATCTTGTAGTTTAAGAAACAAGACCAATGCTGTTGTTTGCCCAGATGTCCTTTCTCTGCTTTTCTATGACCTTTTTGACAGTATATCCACATATTTCAACCAGATTTTATTTGACAACATGGCACAAAAGATCAAAAGGAGTTTTATTTACAGTTTAAATTTTAAAATTCTGATAAAAATCAAGTAATTCAGCTTAGGAAAATGAAATTATAAGTATGCTATTTGGGTTTTAAATTCCAGTCTCCTCTCATGCCATTTCCTCTAAAACATTTCAGTCTTCTGAAATACTGTTGCTTATTAAAGTATGTAAAATGTAGATATATTTTTTCTGAAATTGAATTTGTGCAAGTCAAGCTGGATATTGGTTTTAGATCAACTGATGCTTTTGATCTTTTAAAGCATAGTATAACAAGGTTATATAAGCTTCAAGATATAAAATAAATACAAAGACAAATTTTAGCCTCTTGGTCTGATAAATATTAGGACAAATCTTTTCCAGGGAGTGGGATTACTACTTTCTTTATTTTCAAATTGTTTGCAATGTGCATATAGTACTTCTTAATGGGAAATAACAATAAAGCTTTTAAAAAACAATAATATAATATTTAGAAGTAGCTTATTTACAACGGTTTAAACCTGAATTTCCAAAGAGGCTATTCTAAGGTGCAGGGAAGAGATAAAAAACTTAACATTCTACTATTTGATATTTACTGACCTTCTTGGGTGAAGAACAAAATCCTTAAATGTATAAGGTCTCTCCATTCTTGGATTTTCTGTCTAGAATAAAACAGTGGGTTTTCAAGATCTATCCACAACACCAAAAATATGTACTTTTCAAGACTATTCAGGAACTATGCTAAGGCATAATTGAAGTGAGAAAAGTGAGAAAAAAGTAGCTCTAGTTTGTTCCATGGTTATAATTAGTAAGTTGAAGGTGCTTTTCACTTTGCTGCACAATAGGAATTATAGCCAGCATCACATCTCAGTCTAAAACTAGCCAAGCAGGGAGATTGTGAAGCAAAAAAGGAGGGCAGAAGAGACGGGGAAACACATTATAGAGCACCCCAAAGAATAAGGAATATGTGCTGTCAGCAGGTTGGCTTGGTTAGAGCATACACACAATACTAGGAGAATAAACAGGTAAATAACCTAGGAAGTCAGACTGTATTAAATAGATTATTGAAAGGTTATGACTGCTGAAGACCATAGAGAGCCAAAGAATATCTCAAAAGATCAATTCAGAAGTATTTTTTCTCTTTTAAAAAGTTCAGTGGTGCTTTGTCTGCTTTTATTAGTTCTCTCTGCTGTTTTGCATCAACTACCCATTCTGTCTTGAAACCCTCTCCTTAAATTCTTGTGACACTATTTCACTTGGTTCTTTTTGGTCTTGCTTATCTGCCTTTTCCTTCTCCCTCCATCCACCGTGCAGACTGAGGTCCAACAGTTGGCCCTCCGCTCTCCTCAGAGCTTCTGCTGCTCCCTGGGCAGTGATAACCCTTAATTGTTCTAGGCCTTTTTCCCTACACAATTCATTTTTATGTCTCTGTCACCTGTCTACTTTAAATCTTCATTTTTTCCTATTTTCTACTGAAATTCAGTATGTCCAGAAATAAATTTCTTGTATTTCAAATCGAAATGGCTTTCCTCCTTTCCACATGAGATGCCTGCCACCCTTGCCTTCCAAGTTCAACTTGTATTATCTTTACTTTTTGCTTTTAAAAAAAAAAAAATAAGCTTTCCACGCCAAACACTTGATCCCATAATATTTTATCCTGAAATGTTTCCTAAATCTGTCTTCCTCCACTGCTCAGTGTGCTCCAGACGCTCAGTGTTTTATTTTTATATTGTTGCAAACTATCTTAGTTTCCTTCTATGAGCCTTGGCTCTCCCCATTCTGGTTATTCAGCAGCAGATTTCCAAACTGATCTTCCTTGCAGAATGCTTTCCTGATGCCAACAAATTTCAGTGGCTTTCTATGTGTATTTCTCACTGGGTTCATGTAAGGAAATATTAAAGAGAAAATTGAGATGGAAAATTGAGATGAGTTTTTAGAAGATGATATAGCCAAGAATAAAAGCAATATATGTTTAGTAAATCGAATATTTACATCAACTATACTGTATATATGTAAGTAGTTATTAAATTAAAAAGAACAAACACAAAAAGCAACACGGACACCTATACCAACCGGTAATGGATAAAGTGGAACATCTACTTGACCTAGGAAATCATCTCTTGTCTATAAAAGAAAGAAGAAAACAGAACATTAGTAATATGCACAATTCCTTTAGAAGATTTTGATGAGACAGTGCCATCATTCACAAAAATGTATAAACTTTTAGTTTAATCCTATGCAGCATCATAGAAAATAGAAAATTAAAAAATAATGTAGTACAATTTCTGGTAATGCAAGATTAGCATAGATCAGATTAATACCTCTGCAGATAATAGTTATATACTCTGACAAAATATAAAAACAACTATTTTGAAAGTATAATGGAATGACCCCAAATAAGCAGAAACTGGTAAGAAACCAATCCTTAAAAGAAGGAACTGCGCTGAGTAGGAGTCAGTACTGCTTTATCTTTTCCCCTGTAGTAATCCACAGTCCGTATGTGTGGAGCATTTGGAACTTAAGCGGAAATTTGCAATTCACTGGCTCAAGGAGTTGGAAGATCTAGTTTGGGGATCACAGTAGATCTGGCAAGTGAGCAGAAAAATTCCAGAAAGGAAGAAGCCACAAGAGTCCCTCCAAATCTATATATAAACTCTACCCAAAGCCCTAGTTTAACCCTCAATTGCACAAGTGAAAGGCAACAGCTGGAAGGCTGAAAGGATTAAGCACAGAATTCAGTTGATGCTCACGAAGGAGAAGATAGAATTTGGAGTTCAGCTAAGTTAACTTATTAGAAAAAATAAGAATGCTCTTCAGAGAAAGCTCACAAAACTCATCATTTCTGGTAAGTATTATACTACGTACATTGTCCTGTATGTAATGGAAAATTATTAGACATGCAAAGAAATAGAAAAATATGACCCAGGATCAAGAGAAAAAGTAATTAATAGAAACCAACTACAAGAAGACCTAGATCTTGAAATAAGCACAGACATTAAAAGGTATTATAAAGATATTCAAGGACTTACAAGAAAAATAAGGTCATAATGAATGAACAGAAAGAGAATCTCAGGAATGAAATGGAAACTACAAAAATGAATCAAGTGTATATTTTAGAGCTAAAGATACAATATATGAAATAAAAAAAATGAGTGGATGGGTTTAATACGTGATGACTGGAGAAAACGTTCATAAACTTGAAGATAGACCAATCTTCAAGAATTTGTCTAGTGTGAAAAATAAAGACTGTGGAAAATTTTTGAGCAGTTTAATTAACACACGTGTACCTGGACTATCAGAAAGAAGTGGGTGATAGGGCAGAAACATAAAAACAGCCAAAAATTTTCCACCTTTGGAAAAACGAACAGACAAAGTCAGGGAACTAAAGCAGGATAAATATAAAAAAAAAAAAATGAGTAGGACACAAAAGATAAAGAGATAATCATGAAAGCAGCCAGATAAAAACTACATTACACACAAAGGAACAACAATATGAATAATAGCTGACTTCTCACCAGAAACACTGGAAGCCAGAAGACAACTTAATACTGTCTATTAAAAGCTCAAAGAAAAAAAGTTACCTAAAATTTTGTACTTTGCAAAAAAAATCCATCAAAAGGGAAAGGTTTAAAAAAAAGATAATTTTGGATAAATGAAATGCCACTGGGCAAATTATTAGCATTACAGGACATGCTAGAGGAAGGTTTTCAGGCTGAGGATAAGTGGCACCAGAAGAACACCAAAAATGGTAAATATGTAGGTAAATTATTTTTACAAAGTACCTTCTTAACTACTTACAGAATAAATTATGATATATTGAAAAAAATCACTACATTATGGTTTTAAAACATGTAAATGTAATACAAGTCACAATATCACACAAAAGACAGGTGGAGTAAGTGGATCTATACTGTTGTGAGACTCTTACATTTTACAGGAAGTGGTATCACGGATATATTTTAATCATTAATTGACTGCAAGCCCAGGGAAGAATTAAAATGAAATATCACAAATATTTACTAACCCAAAATAAGGTAGGAAAAGAGAAAAGGAGACAGAAAAAACTTACGATGAATAGAAATAAAGAGTACATTTTGAGAACTAAACCCAACCAGATAAATTATGACCACCTAAACATTCCCATTAAAGATGGAGATTGTCAAGCTGAATAAAAATGCAAGGCCTAAGCATGTTGCCTATGAGACGTCTATCATTATTATTATTTAAAAATATTTTTATTAAATTTTTTTCATTTTTTCACTTTTCATTTTAAAATAAGTTCAGATTTATAAAAAAGTATAAATTCCTGCTAAGAATTCCCACAAACGTCTCACCCAGCACTCTAAATGTTGATATCTTACATATCTATAGTATAATGATCAAAACCAGCAATACCATTAACTAGTCTATAGATCTGACTCAAATTTCACCAGTTGTCTCACTAATTCCACTCCAGGGTCTAATTCAGAATCACACCTTCCATTTAATTATCCTGTCTCCTTAGTTTCTTTTAAACTAGAGAGCGCCTTAGTCTTTTTTTTTTTTCATAATCTTCACATTTCTGAAGAGTACCAGTTCATTATAGAACATCCTTCAATTTGGGTTTGTCTAATATTTTTTCATGGTTGAATTTAGATTATGCATGATTTAGAATATCATGAAAGTGATAGTTGTGACTGGACAAGATAGCACATACCTATAGTCCTAGCTGCTCAGGAGGCTGAGGCAGGAGGACTGTCTGAGCCCAGGAGTAGGAGGCCGCAGTGAGCTATGATCATGCCACTGCACTCGATGTTTATGCCCTTCTCAGTGCATCGTATCAGGAGGCACATGAAACCAATCTGTGTCATAATTTATTTTGGCCATCTGGTTAAAGTGCTATCTATCAGGTTTCTCTTCTTAATATTTTCCTCTTTATAAGAGTATCTGGTGGAAAAATACTTCAAGACTGTTTAAGCATCCCATTTCTCCTCATACTTTTGCCCACGAACTTTAATATTCATTGGTGATTCTTGCCTACCACAATTATTATTGTGATGCTTGCCAAATGGTGACTTTCTACTTCTACCATTTCCAGCATTCCTTTTATATTAATTGGAGTTGTGCTGAAACAAAGAACTTTGTCCTTCTCCCCATTTATATAGACAATTATTTATTTATATTAGCATGGACTCATTGAAATTTATATCTTATGATATATAGTCTATTTCTGTCACTTACTTTGTTACTTAAATTGTCCCAGGTCTGGTCATTGGGAGTCACTTGTATTTATTCCCTGTATTTTTGATATGTCCTCTTAATTTTTTTTAGCACTTCCTTACTTTCTGGTACCAAAAGATATTCCAAGTTCAGCTTATGCCTTCCCTGTCTCTGCCCTGCAATCAGTCATTTCTCCAAAGAACCCAGATAAATCTTACTGGAGAGTGATACTTAGATACCAAGGTCTGGGTTTAAGGTGCTCATTGTCTCCTAGGCTCAAGAGATGAACTTTAAATATAATTATGTAGATAAATTGAAATTAAAAGTATGAAAGAAGATACATTAGGTATATAGAAAGTATAAAAAACCTGTAATAATATCAGCTAGATCAGACTCCATGATAAGGAGGATAGCCACAAATAGAAAGAAATATTTTATAATAATAAAGGGATAATTTCATATGAATTTCTACAAATCAATAACATGAATCAATAACAAAGCGAAAAACTACCCAATTAAAATGCGCATGAGACTTGAATAGATAGTTCAACCAAGAGGATAAATAAATGGTCAATAGTACATGAAAAGATGGTAACCACTTTAAGTCATCAGAAAAATGCAAATTAAAATCACAATCCTGGGCTCGGTGCCTGTGGCTCAATCAGCTAAGGCGCCAACCACATACACCTAAGGTGGCGGGTTCGAATCCCCAGCCTGGGCCCGCCAAACAACAATGATGGCTGCAACCAAAAAAATGGCCAGGCGTTGTGGTGGGTGCCTGTAGTCCCAGCTACTTGGGAGGCTGAGGCAGGAGACTCGCTTGAGCCCAGGAGTTGGAGGTTGCTGAGAGCTGTGATGCCATGGTCCTCTACCCAAGGGGACAGCTTGAGGTTCCGTCTCAAAAAAAAAAAAAAATCACAATCCTGTACCACCTCAAACCTTCAAGAGTGAAGTTGCAAAGTCTGATGATAATAAATCCTGGTCAGAATGTGGAACAATTAGAACTCTCTTACAAAGCTAAACACAGGCCACATTTACTGCCAGAATGAAGACCATTCTCAGCAGACTGTGGACATGCTGGAAAATGTCCATGTCACTCTCAAGGGATGCAGTTACTGTGACAGGCTCCAGAGGAAGCCTGTGGAGGGACTTCAACCACATGGATGTGGAACTCAGTCTCCTTGGAAAGAAAAACAAGAGGTTTCAGGTTGACAAATGGTGGGGAAATAGAAATGAATTGGTTACTGTTCTCATTATTTGTAGTTATGTACAGAACATGATCAAAGGCATTACACTGGGTTTCCGTTATAAGATGAGGTCTGTGTATGATCACTTCCCCAACAACAGCTGTGATCCAGGAGAATGGGTCTCTGGCTGAAATAAGAAATTTCTTGGGTGAAAAATACATCCGCTGGGTTTAGATGAGGGTGGGAATTGCTTGTTCAGTATCTCAAGCTCAGAAAGATGAATTAATCCTTGAAGGAAATGACATTGTCCTTGTTTCAAATTCAGCTGCTTTGATTCAGCCAGCCACAACAGTTAAAAGGATGTCAAGTACTTATGTCTCTGAAAAAGGAACAGTTCAGCACACTGATGAGTAAGATCTAAGAGTTGTCCAGCTGCATCAAGATAGTGGGTGATTCCTAAGACCTATTTGTAACTTTAGTGATGCAATAAAAGACCTATTCATTTGAGGGTGGGAGGAGCTAAACACATCCTACTCTAAGACCAGGAAATTGTATTCTTTGCTATTTTCCCAAGAAAAATTAAAACCAATATCTAACTAAAATACTTGTTCAAGAATGCTCCTAGAATTTCATTTACAGAAGTCGAAACTTTAGCAGTACATGCATTTACTAGTTACTCACCAATGAAAAGGAATGGACTGATACACAAAACAATATAGATGAATCTCAAAGAAAAGT